CAAGTTCTTCCTCTCCTGTCTGCTTTTTCATTCCTCTCCTCATCATGATTAGTACTCTTTCACTGAATGTTTAAGCTTGCACAACAGCATACCTATACTGTATCTTCTTTTGAGAGATCCTAAGCATTGGTCCTCATAAATCAATGCAATACATCTTGTCAGTCGGAATCCAAACCCTCACAAAAAGCTGATTCAACATTTTCAGACGCTTACATTGGTTATTATCCTCCAATCAATAGTTACACTAAAGAGCAACATATTTGAAGATGTCACCTTGGGCTTAAGGAGATCGTTTTTCTCTGTTTCCTTTCTATTTTATATATCAAGCAATTAATCCACGAGGAAAATGATTGATGGTTGCAGATCAATATTTGACATTTAATTGTGTAATGTCTGAACAACAACTTTAAATCAAGGAGATGAACATTGTCATGACATTGGTGTGTATGTTAGCTACGCACATATGTAATGCTACTACTCTCCTAATATAAAAAAAAAAGTATTGGTTATGAAAAAAGGAGCAATAATTGCCTTTATATTTAACATCAATAGCCAGTAATTGTAAATATCTCCCTCTCCTCACCAACTTGTTTTGCAATGCGAACACTCTGCCATACTTCCCGGCCTTCTCCCATTAGTTGTGATAGAACCATACCGGGTGACTTATGGCGCGTTTCCACTGCAGGCTTCGCTCGGCCTCGCTCGGTTTGGTTAGGCCTTATTAGGCCCGGCTCACTTTAATGCTGCGCTTCCATTACAGTTTAGGAGCTGGGGCAGTAACTATAGTAACGCAGTGTAGGCGATGCCGTGACATCATCTTCAATGAGCACCCGTGAGCACCCCAGAAAAAACAACATAAGCCGTTTGTTTGCACTCAAGCTCCTCATATCTGTTCAGAAACTAGACAAAAGTTAAACAAGTACAAACCACTGACTGTCTGTGTCATGGCGAATACAGTCGCTGGTTTATTTATGTCTGTATAGGCCGTTGTGAGTGTGGACGGTCGGAGCATATAGCCTATATTGTGTTAGCTTAGCCGATCTCCATTTAGACAACAAATCAAATCAAGTTTTATTTATATAGCACATTTTTAAACGATTTTTGGTCGAGCCAAAGTGCTGTACATATAATAAAAATACCCTACAGTAAAGACACTTTACAGCAAATACAACAGCACAGTTTGTGCAGAATATCAGTATGAGAAAACGACACCCTCTGTCCTTAGACCCTCACATCGTACAATGAAAAACTTCCGGAGAAAAACCCACAGTTTAAAGGGGAAAATGGGAGAAACCTCAGGGAGAGCAACAGAGGAGGGATCCCTCTCCCAGGACGGACAGACGTGCAATAGATGCCGTGTGTAATTCTAAGAGATAATACATTTTATAGCATAGGTAGACCAAATGTTGGGAAATGCTTGTGTCTATACTGTAATAAGAAGATCAAGCATTTAAAAAGGTTTTTCGCCTGCCGTCTGTCTGCATCAGTAGGCAAAATGATGCTGAAGTAACAACAGTTACTTTGGCATCATTTTGAAACGTGTATTACAATTAAATCACGGTCAAATATGTTCATCTTGTTGTAGTTGTAGCCCCCTTGACAGCGATTCTCTCTCTAGTTTAGCAAACTCAGCCCGACTCAGCCCTGTTTGTTGGCCTCGATAGAACCACGATTTAGTCAGAAAAAAGGTGAGAAAAGTAGCCCCGGGCCAAAACTAGACCAAGTGGAAGCGCAACCAAAAACGGGCCCCGCACGGCTCGGCACGCTTAAAGCGAGCTCCGCGCTGCAGTGGAAACGCGCCATTAGACTCTGACGTCACTGTCGAGACGGCAGCAGCCGACTCCGCCTACTAAGGGCTTCTCAGCAACTCTGCAGAAACCTATGGGTGACGTCACCGACACTACGTCCATTTATATATACAGTCTATGGTGGGAAGCCATTTCCTTGTGATACTTTTATGCCCATCAGTTAAGCAGCGGCCATTCAGGTGGTGCGGACTTAAGTGTTTAATGCCTTGTGATTAACCTCATTCATCGGATGGTCTGTCTCCCTGCTGCACTCTCTTTCCCAATTATTGGTCTTTAAGGAGAGTGAGGACGATTTATGGCCAGTGAGAGCAGAGCAGTATCCCAACAATTACGCTGACCTCCGGAATTAAATTGACAATTTGTAATCTTAGTCGCCTTAACACTTGTGTATCCAGAGAAAGGCACAGTCAGCCAAGCCAAGGCTCAGAGGAAATCAATTCAAAGAGTCTCTGTCTTTTTCCCCTATCTACTTCCTGGCTTCGCTATCTACTCGTTCAACTATTTCTCAGGTTGAGCACTTTATTCTCCCACTCTTGCACTCACTCCATTTCACTCCTTTCTACACTTACAGCTTTGTTTCTTGTCAGTGACCCTTTTTAGTCCTCTCTTCAACACACTCACATCTTACTTGGGAGAGATTTCCATTACCTAAGGAGGGGAACCATTTACCAGGGAATGGGCCTCATCTACTATGGCTGACTGGAGGCTTGTCTCTCTTCTGGATGTTCTGACATCTCTTTTTCTTTCCTTCCCCGGGCTCAAAAGAGACTGATGGCAAGTGGGAGCAGATGTTAACACTGTGGTCCTAAAGTCCATGACATACAGTAATGTCCAGGTTTTGTTAAAGCTTATTTTAACCAATAAGACTTGACTTGGCTCTTGATTTAATCAATAAGCACTTATTCATGATAAAATTAACTGCAGATTATTTTTCTTGCCAACATCTTTTGTAGAAATGCACTCTGATAAGGTGTCAATCCTCAATGGAGAGTATTTGATTTATTTAATAATACACTTGGTTTATAAATGTGGTTCTTTACACTGAAAAAACTTAAACATTTACTTTAATCAAATGCGATATGTCAACTGGTTCCACATAACTATATTAGGTTAGTTGAAAGAAAAAAAATTAAGTTGAACCTAATTTTTATTTAAACTTAATATTATTGCTTTCAACTAACCTACTACAGTTATGCCAAATCTGTTGACATAATACATTTAATTCAAGTCAACGTTTCAGTTTGTCAGTGTAGGACTTTATCCGAGAACAGGTCAATAATGAACAAGTAATTATGGCCAAACACACTCAAACAATAAGAAATCTAATGAGTTGCTCTACAATACTTTGAAGATGCAAAACATGTACAGTAATATTTAACAATGTCATGTTTATTGGGATTTGCATACCTTGCATTAAAATTCTCACCAAAGGGAGATTTATAAAGACTTGATACAAAATTTAAAAATTGAAAATGTAATTGGGGTGCTTAAGTTGGAGGGCTGGATATTTTACGGGTCCTAATACAGATCACAGAAAAGTGCAGGAGTAATGAAAAGACAGCATTCAGTCGTCCGGATTGATCTTATTTAAATTCAGAATCAAAACACATACTTTAACAAAACATCACATGTATCAGAGTAGCAAGTTCTACAGTATGCAGTGCAATACTGTGACAAAATCCTACAATAATTGTATTTTACATAAAGTATCTCAGTCTCATTTCTGTTTTCTACTTTAGGTGTTGTCTGTCCACCTGTGTGTTTTCTCCCTGTTGCCCTCGTGCCTTTACCTGCCTTCAGCTGTTTCTTGTTAATGTAACTAATTAGTTCTGTCACTATATATGGCTGTCCGTCTACGTTTTCTTAGTCAGTTCGTCATCTTTGTTCACTTCTATGGTCCTGCCTGTGTACTTGATCCTGTTCCTCATGCTCTCCCTGGTATGTACCTGTTCAGCTTTTCTTTGTTTTCTTTTCACCTTGCTTAGTCCACCTGTATTTGTGTTAAACTTATTTTTAATCATTTTTTGTTTTCTAAAAGCTCACTTTTTATTACAAATTCCTGCTATCCTCCTTTTACTGCTTTTGGGTCTGACTTCCTGCCAAATTCCTGAGGAAAAAATAAATTATCTTTCAAATTTAATTTTAAAAGTGAAGAATTAATTTGAAGATGGCATTAGAATTTAGAAAATCAACAACATTTAAATGATTTCTAGTGGGCAGCCTACATAAATGTATGAAGCATTGTAGCGATATTTCAGACTTTAGGAATTCCTGACACCATGCCCAAAACAGTCAGTTATATTTATTTAACTGACTGATTCTGAAAAATTCCTTACTCGCCATTATAAAATAAAAAGTCACTCAAATGTACCACACATCAAACCGTCCACTTAACACCCTGCACAGAACATTCCTCAACTCAGTATTTTAAGATTACAAATATTCCCCTCTTGGATAAAAAACAAGACTTGACTCTTTATTCTGAAAGGATTGCATTCTGAAACGAGTTGCGTTAAACAGTCTCATGAAGTATCCACAAACGGGGAGGGGCTCACGAGGCCACACAATGACCCCAAGGTTTTTAGAGGCTTCAAATAAGTGATTGGTTTCTCTTTGTCTGAACTGTCCTAACTCCTGTCAAATAACAGAATAAGTGGCTTTGGTGTGTTTAATGACTCAATTCTCGGTCAGACTGTGGGAGCAACAGTCATCCTCGTCTGCCACACTGGCAATCATTTCCACACTGACAATCCAGGCAATTCTTCCAGTAAAAGGTTTTGCTGAAATATATTAAATCAATTTTTAGCAGCGTTAAAGACTGAATGTGCTAAAACTTTCTGCAGCTTATCTCTGACAATAGAGCAGTTGTTATAATTGCTTAGACAAAAGTGACTGTGATGGGCCTTAACAAATACTGTAACTTCAAGCCATACATTTAAACATTTTGCTTTTTGATCCAAGTTTAAACCTCAAGCGTTAATTCAATAAATGAGTCTTTGTAAAATAAAAATTAAAACATTAAATGGTCAGTCAGTTAAAGAGATCATTCATTTAATTAGCAACAATTGAATGCTTAAAAGGCCTCCATCTTCACTTTGGTGCCAATTGTGTAGGTGATGAATGGAGAATAAGTCAAGTTGTTTTAATCTGATCAACACCTTGCTTGATGATATTATTACTCTAATAATGTGCAACTTCTGATCCTCAGATACAGTAGGGCTCTTTTTGTCTGGTCTTAAGTTTTGGCTAAAGTTAAATGTGACTGGGTGTTTGATGTCACTAAAAAACACTTCACCTCATAGCCATGCGTTTGATAACTCGACAGAAAACCATAACCTTGTGCCTCTCCCTCGCCACAGATACATTTCGTGAACAGTTAACTGGGGTCGAGCAACTCCTCTTCACAGCCCTTAGGTGAAGATCGGCCGGCTCAGTCTTCGGTGTTAATGTTCAGGTCAATAAGTTGTGCATATTGTTCGTGGTGGAAGATGCCGGTGCTTTCCTTGTGGAAGAGCTATCCCGGTCCCAAAGTCCACCAATATATCCCAACGAGGTGCTTCTAATGACGACTAATGAGTCAGCCAACATCTCCAAAGTGTGATGACGTTTCTGATCCTGCTTCCTACCACCTACCCCTGTCCAACAAGCATTCATAAAATAAAGTGACACAGACACGTCATAACAGTAATAGTGTGTCAGGAGCTGACAAGCTATTAAACCACATGAACAAATAAAAGACGCTAACGACAATTCACACCATTCTGATATGTTGACTGGTTGCTGTTTTTGCAAAACTGCTATTCTTAGTCAAACACGTGCATTATGGCTGCTATTTGATGTTTTTGTCTTGCGGAGGCAATAGACTTGAGCTCTGCACCAGGCAAGACAAGATGAAGAAATGTGCGATCAGTTGGAAAAAGTACATTTCTTATACTATTTATGTTGAAATCAGTTTTTAACCAAACAATAATGGTAGAAAGGTATTTCTTACATACATTATGGCATATCATATTTTCTCTTCTCCAGGGCATTCTTCTGTACTGTAATTACCAGGCCTCCACCTTTGATATGAGGAAGCTTCCAAACCACCATTTTGAGGCCATGGACAACTTCGCAAAGTGCTTCCTGATCCTGCGGCTGGAGAGCAGTCAGGTGGAGGGGGGTCTCCACTGTGCTGAGGGGGACATCAGGGGCTGGAGGGCGGTGCGCGTGGACCTGGTGTCGCCGCCTGTGGATCGATACGCCTTCGCTCTCCTGGGATGGACTGGATCCAGAGTAAGAAGGATTGTAGGAACTGAATGACAGTGAGCAGTGGCTGCGGGTGGAATCCTTGGAAAAGTTTAGAAGTCACTGTCTTTCATGATCAATCATTGTCTTGTATGTGCCACCATCATGTGATAAAACATTGCTCAGTCAAGAACAACGTCAAGGTCAAAGTCCAGGAAGTCTTTCATCTTTGGCACTCTGTCCAAATACACCTTCAAATAAATGTGAAAGATATAATAAGTAATTTGCAAGTTTGCAATATTATTTGAATTGGCTGATATGAAATTACTTACTTTTACAGGTTTAAATGTAGGAATATAGATGCCATAACAACCCAAAATAGACGTTTGATTTATTTGATTTATGTTTTTTTCTTTTTCTTCCACAGCAGTTTGAGAGAGATCTGAGAAGGTTTGCACAAGTGGAGCGAGGGATGATTCTGGACAACCACGCCCTGTACGACAAAAAAAAGGTATGTAACGCATCAACTTATAGCTTGCAAAAATGCAGATAACATGTATCTGACATTTAGCAGAGAGGTTTAAACAAGAAACTAATCAATACATAATTACTGTAACTAATAATAACTAATTTGTGTAGCGAGAAAGCTTCACATTTTCTCACAACCTGCCATTTTTGCAATTTAGAGCTAAATGTAGCAGTTGAGTATCCACTGTAGGCTTGAAAGCATGTTTTGTTGCAATATAAAGTTAATTTGACAGAGACAGGGTCAGAACATGTAGTGAAATCACTTCTGCAGCACTTGCAAAGGATGCATTTGTTAATTCATTATTGTTAATTGGTAGTGGATTTCGAGTTGAGGAATCACTTACAAGGTGTTTATTAGCTACCATGGCTTATGACCTGTGTGAACATGAGAAATACCAAATTAATTCGAAGGGTGTGAGATTTCTGGGTAAGGGACTGCAGTTTATTGACACTTCTTTTTGGGTGTCAGACGTTTTCTTCTCTGTGTGCATTCATTATAATTAAGGCAAACCAGAGGCTTTTGAAACCCTATTTTCAAATACAGGCAGCTAAGACTATTAAAGTGTTGATTTAACAAAAACCATGTAAAAGCCAAATGATCCAGTATGAATAGTATTTTGCTCTCTCGGACACATTGTGCCGTTGCGATTACAGAGTAGAGCTGCTTCTGTGATTCAATTTACAACAACGGGCAAAGCTGCGTTGATCTTACCAAAGCGTCTCTGCACTTGTTGCTAGTCTTTATTAAGCTGCATATAACAGTTTTAAGAGGAAGGACTCCTTCTAAAACAACCTTCTAAAATAGATATCCTCACTCTCCATGAATTACTATGACAGTGATACTTGTTACACAGATAGATATATTCAGTGCTTGAATTGGAATAAAAAAGGTGCCAGTACTCTAAATCAGCAACAAGTATTTGGCACAAAGTCATAGTATATCCTATAATGCTGGTGGGTTTGTCTCTTTACTGTATATTTTAGAAAGGCTCACTGTACTTAAACAAAATGACTCAGGGTGCATCTGAGATTAGAGGGGGTGCAGTGGTAAAGTGCTATTTTTATAAGTGGGGAGTGGACCTGACACCCTCTAGTCTAGGGGGGTCCGGGGGCATGCTCCCCCGTGAACATTTATTTTTAAATATTGAAGTTAGATGCATCAATCTGGTGCACTTTGAGAGCAAAATGAAGAGATATATGGATACTTCTCAACATCCATAATGAAACAACTGTAAACAGATTTACTTTTTCTTTATGGATATAAAAGAAAGTAAAGCTTGACTCCTACTGGCTGGTTAAATGACTCCTCGTCCCTGAGGCCACTACCAGTTTTTTGTGCCATTTTGCTGGAATTTATTGTACAATAGCGTTGCT